ACCGGCACCGCACCTAATACGAGTAGGGGCGACGATGTGAGGTGGAGGGGGGGGGGGGGGGGGGCGCATTCGAGGGGGTTTGTCCGCGATTGCTTTCGCGAGGCCGGCTGCATTTACTTCGCGGCCAGAAAACATTCAAAGAAGGAAACAAAAGAGCGACAAATGGAATGATGTCTTTATTGAACAGAGCATCTGCTTGCTGTGCTTGCCGCAAGTAATCTGGCGTTTTCGGTTGACAGCGGCGAGGCGAAGCATCACCGATTTAAGCAGCGTCGGTACCGATCGTTCAACGCTCCTGCTCACCTGTTAGCATTCGTTATCCACTTTCAAGTCCCTGGTAATACTCACCGCGTCTGTGCACGCACTTGGCGCTATTCACCGCACGGAACACCCATTCAACTGGCTATGGGACTGATCCCATTTGGACGAGAGCCCGAGAACCGAACCAGACCGAACCCTTTGTGGCTGCTACTTGGAGCCATGCACACACTGTGGAGCCATGGAACGTCTCCATGTTTTTCACTCAAATAAGTAGACACATAAACGCGCGACTCCTTGAATTGGGCGGCGACGCGCGCCACCTAACGGACAGTGCTCAAACTAAAGAAAAAAAGAAACCAGCAATTTTTGCTCTGAGCGCCTCGCCAGACATGCCGTATGTACATATCCCACGCCACACTTCAATCATACGCGACATACAGACATCACAGCATTTTATACATCAACGCATTCAGAAACAGCACAAGACACAACATCAAATATTGACACTCTACATTCCTATATACACCTCAAGTCGACACCACCAGCTTATATACTGCTGTAGTTTCTGTGATCGATTAGGATGGTGACCACTGTCATATTTTGCATAAATACGAAAAGACTGTGCAAGCTTTAGCCGTATATATTATTTTCCTCTAATGCCATTAGAAAAGCGCTCGTATCTCTAATGTAGGGCCATTGCAAAAGTGAACTGCAGGTTATAAATAAATTTGAATAGTTGCTACACGTCACATTTTGATCAGTTTCGTTTTCTCGCTAGCCTACACTTCAAGTATACAGAAGCCTGTTTAATTAATGGTATTAATTATCGAAACCAATTTCTACAATCACAACTTTCTGAACACACTGATGCATTTTCTTTTCTCTTTTCACATATTTAGACTGACTTTAGCAGCGGTTGGGTACACGTTGAGTACACTAAGCACGCGCAGGTGATTCTAGCGAAGCCCGTCCGCCGGTCCTCCCCGAAGCGTTATTTCAGTTTTCTTCTTTTCGCTAAATGTGCGTTCTATGCGCTCGCGCCAAGAGGACAGTGCAGAATTGCTGTTTTCGGGCCCGTGCCTTCACCTGCAACGAACGCGAAATACGTATGCTAAATTATCTAAATCTTCCCTATTGAAAAAACCAGCTTAAGCTGGTCCCAGCTTCAAGCTGGGTTATTGCCCCAGCATGCCCAGCTTGGCATGCCGGTCATGCTGGTTGATCTGGTCATACTGGTCATGCTGGTTTATCTGGTTATACTGGTCATGCTGGTTGATCTGGTCCCAGCTTCAAGCTGGGTTATTGCCCCAGCATGCCCAGTTTGGCATGCTGGTCATGCTGGTGGACTTCCCAACCAGTTTAACGTGTTTAAATTAATACACGCGATAAACAAGCCAAGCTCTTCAGAAAAGCCAACTCGGCATCCAATTTATTAGTTTCGTACTTGCAGCCGCCTCACATGAACTCAGATGCTACATATCCTCGGCGCTGACACAGCTAGTACTAACCGACGCACAGACAGTGGTTCTCGGTACAAAGGCAACAATGTTAATAAAACCCGATTGCTTATCTTTCAACACGAAAAATACTAGACACACGCCAAAAACAGGCAATAGCAAAAGAAAATACTACACGGATGAGAGAAGCGAACCTGGGTCCCGCCAGTGATGGGGGCGAAGCGGCAACTTGCGTGGTCGGCAATGGCGAGGAAATCCGTGTGGCTTCGATGGCATTGGCGATACTCCTCGGCACCACCGTCATTCACGAGCATACACACGTTCGAAGACACGAAGCGACGCCTCAGTCGGGACGTCCGACATCTTCCCGCACTGAACGGACTGCCGCTCGCTGTCTCCTCAAAACCCGCTTCGCTTGCACCGTCGTTCAAGTAGTCTCCAAACAACGCGCACACAGCCGTCCCTTCGAAAATGTGTCCAAGATAGCCAAACGCGTTTCAAATTCTCCGTTCCTACCACTCTCTCTCTCTTTCTTTTTTCGCACACAAAGGTAGCTTGCAGCGCGCCTGACTCGCCCGGTTGTCTACCAAAAAGGAGAGGACAAAGAACAGGACCTGGCCTCGTTCTAGCCTAAGCCAACCTTGGCGCGCGCGCTCCCAGCAATGCCAGTTCGGCTATCTCTAGCCGACCTTGGCGTGCGCGCTCCCAGCATGACCAGCTTGACCAAAACGATTATTAGTTCGACCAGATTCACCAGCTTGTCTCCCAGCATGACCAGCTTGTCTCCCAGCTTGACCACATTGGCTCCATGGAAAACCAGTTTGATCAGTTAGGACCAGACTGGCTCCCAGCTACACCAGATTGAATCTAAAACCAGATTCTAGTTAGACCATGCTGGTTTTTACTTAAACCAGACTGACCACCTTAAATTCTAGCTTGCCCAGCTTAAACCAGCTTGATTGCCAGTTAAACCAGTTTGGCTACCACATTGACCAGATTGACCAGCTTAGTTACCAGCATGGCCAGTTTGATTTTCATGCTGGTTTTTCCAATAGGGTGGCTAAGACAGTAGCGTTTGACTACGTGCGTCTGACTGCGTTGCGGCAGCAAGAAATCAGGACATCCCTGCTGCTTATATCGCGTGCCAAGATGATTCCTTGAATTGGATTCCACGCTTGATACGAAGCACAGACGTGCCGGTGAGTGGCTTTCGGTTCTCGACGCAACGCTGTCAAACGCTAGTGTCTGAACCGGCCTTGTTTGAAGCATTTTTTTTTATCGAGTATGCTCGATGAAATGTGCCAAATGAACCAGAGAAGGCGAATCATGTACCTCGAGACAGAGAAATAGTGAAATACACGGACATGATCCCAGATATCTGTGTACGTTCGTCCTGTCCGGCCTCAGTCGTGGTGTTCAATGCTTCATACTTCACTGCACTTGAAAGCAAAAAAAATTGGGCACGACAGGCGCGCAAGTTCGGCGGAACCGAGGAGGCCATTTGCAACTGATCTGCACGCAGTACTGACCGATCACACCTTTATTGAGAGCACGCTCTTTACTGAACCGCACAATAAAAGACGACGAGAGTATCTCGTCCGGCGAACATTCAAGTCACCTCACGCCTGTGCGTAGCTTCCTGTGCTTTTTTAGAGATTTGGTTAAATTCCTCGAGCACGACGCCAGCTGCCAGCTGTTGACTGCTGTACATGGTAAAACCCGCGACGAAACCAAAAAGGACAACCGCTATACTTTTTATCTGCATCGGGTTTTAACAGGTGCCTACCAAGGTTGCCTGTACTTGTTTGTTTTCTGCCAGTTTAGGCCAACTGAGCCACACGCTTGTTTCGAACGGTTCAAATTTTAATAAATGATAACCAACGCACAAAGAAAACAAGTTTCAAGTACTTTTTGAGATTTTTGAAGTGACTTTTATTATTGAACGACTGCATGCACTTGAATGTTCAATTCAAGAGTTTATAAAACGTGACTACCCCATGCTTGTCACCTGCCAACAGGGTGCTAACTCTCAATGACTCGAGCCCAGGGGGTAGTTAAGTAAGCCTGGGGGTAGTTACAGCCGTCAAAACGCACGATGACGAGAGGGGTGCTCACTTTTTCTTAGAGTGTACAACGAAGCAAACAAGTGATGAAACGCCGCCTGTTCATCCCAACGCTGTAAACAAGGCACCGGCAAACAACGAGACCCAACGACCTTCCAGACAGTCCACTTCTGCTTCCACCGCACCTTCAACGTACTCGGATAACTTCAGTCCGAGCTCAGGCAAACGCAACCAGCCAGAAGACGGCTGGATTGAGGTTCGACGCCGGCGGAAGGCAGAAATACGAGGGGGTGCCAGCAAGTCGACAACTCTGAGCACCGTACCCCTGGGTCCTGCCCGGAAAGCATTGTTTGTAACAAGGATGAACCCGGATACAACCACAGAAGACATCGAACAGTTTGTGGCTGATGTGGTGAAGGACGACACGCTTGTGTGTACAAGGCTTAAAAGCAAGTTTTCTATATACTCGTCTTTTCACGTCGCAATAAGTGCTGACACGTTTGATATTATTAACGACCCACTAGTGTGGCCTGGGGGGGTGTCTTTTTCGTCAGTTTCGTGGTGTACTAAGAACCGACGAACTTGCTCATGCAGACACGGGAGAAGCTTAAAACTTTATCAATATACTACCAAAACGTAAGGGGCCTTCGCACTAAGGCCGATACGTTCTCTGAGGGGGTAGCGTTTTCAGACTACGACGTGTATTGTATTACAGAAACTTGGCTACTAAGTGACATCTCATCTTATGAATATTTTTGTGACAGCTACTCCATATTTCGCCGCGACCGCAATTACGGAGTTACCGGACAGAATTACGGTGGTCGTGTACTCACAGCCATACGCAACAACATTACGGCAGTTCGTCGCTTGGACCTCGAAAGCTATGAAGAATGTGTTTGGCTTGAAGTGAAAACTGGCGGACCCAAAAATCTTTTAATAGGAAATTATTATATACCCCCCTACTCTCGATTCCAAGGAATTTGAGCAGGTTCTGATCAGTTTATCAGAAAAACTCGACCCCGCCAACTTTAACGTGATCATTGTCGGCGATTTTAATGTACCTGGTACGTGGTGGTCGAGCGAAGCTTCAGAGTCAAGCTGTCGTAAAGGAAATCAGCTCTTAACTTTTGTTCACTACAACGATCTTTACGGCGGCGAAGTTCCTTCAAACTAATGTGGAAACGCTCTGGACGTTCTTTTTACTAATCGTAAAACTTACAATATTGCAATAGTGAGCAATCCAATTGTTTCCGCCGATATATGGCATGTTCCATTTTCCGTTAAGGTAGACGTGCTAGTCTCGTCCGTGAAACACAAAAACATATATCGGTTTGATTACGCCAACGCCTCATATCTTGACTTTTCGTTTACACTCGATTGACGAGGCGGTCACTGCTTTGACCAATATTTTGATGACCGGCATGCACAGCTTTATACCTCGTAAACAAACTGATCGATCAAACAGATATCCCCCGTGGTTCTCTCGCGTATTAAAACCCGTAATGCGCAAAAAGTTACATTTGCACCGTCTTTACCGCACTACTAACAGCAACGAAGTTTATGACAGGTTTAAAATATGCCGAGCCACGGTTAAAGAACTGTATAAGTGCGATAAAGAGGCTTATCGTTGACAAGTCGAAGGAAGTGTTTCCAAGCGTCCCCAGGATTTTCGGCGATTGGTTAAAAAGCATACTCGAGATAGGTCGAGTCCTGCTTCACTTATGATTGACGGAGCATATTCTTCTGATCCTGATAAGATATTCAATCAATTCGCAAAGTTTTTCTTGTGCATTTATTCATCAGTCAGTGTCGAAAACACAGATTTTACTAACTACTCATAACCATTTCCCTCCTCCGACAATTGACCTTGCCGACGTTGTTTGGGCAATTCATCAGCTCCCATTTAAAAGATTTTGTGGCCTTGATGGCATACCGAATTTTATAGTTAAGGGGTGTGTCGACTTACTGGCTCCCATTCTACACCACATATTTTCTATGTCGCTGAAGCAGTCTCTTTCCGACCGCCTGGAAAAAGGGCTTGGTAATCCCTCTTCCTAAATCAGGCACCTCAAGGAATATCACAAACTATAGACCGATATCATTGCTTTCCGCATTTTTGAAGGTATTCGAAAAAATCATTCATAAGCATCTAACACACTGTTTTAAGCACTTAATACCCGAAGTTCAACATGGTTTTTTGACCGGCAGGTCTGTTGAAACAAATCTTGCGTGTTTTTTAAATGATGTTGCCCCCAGAGTCTGCTCTCGAGAGCAAGTTTACGTAGTGTATTTTGATTGTAGCAATGCATTTGATCGTGTAAACCACAAGTTACTGTTACACAAACTTTCTGTTTCTGGTGTCAGCGACGAGTACTGTTCTTAGTTTGAAAGTTATCTTTCTGCAAGAGAAAACTGTGTCGGCTACGCAAATGTTAGGTCTTGTTTTTTTCTGTGCCATCTGGTGTACCCCAGGGTTGCAATCTGGGACCTTTTCTTTTTAATATATTTGTTAAAGATGTCCAAAACATCATTCGCCATTCGAACCTCTTGCAGTTCGCTGATGACCTCAAGATCTACAAAAATATTTCGTCATTAAATGATTGTGCTGTACTGTGGGAAGATATCAACGCCATCTGTCTATGGTGTAAAGATAACGGGCTTGATCTTAACATTGGAAAAACAAATGTAATATCTTTCACGCGTAAGACTAATCCAACTCACTTTCTGTACTACTTAGAAAATTCGTCGATTACTCGAGTTACGATTGTGAAAGATCTGGGAGTGATGCTAGACTCCAAACTCAACTTTAACTCGCACGCGACATACGTTGTGAGCTCTTGCTTTCGTCTTCTCGGTGCAATTTCAAGATTTATTAAGTGTTTTTCAAGTGTTTACCTTTTCTACGTACTTTATCGAAGCATAGTTCTTCCAAAACATGACTTCTGCACTGTGATTTGGAACAGCCTTAGTGCTACAGCTTCCAATAATGTGGAACGCGTACAGAAAAGATTTGCCAGAACTTATCATTTTAGATCCCCATCACACGATCTATATGATTACAACGAAGTGCTTAGACAATTGCAAATCACTAACCTTGCATCAAGACGATGCTCGCGCGACCTTTTATTCTTGTTTAAATGCATACATTCTAATCAGGATATTAGCTCTCTGGTCACATGTATTAACTATCATATACCCGGTAGAAAAGTTCGTTCTAGTCGCACTTTCCATGTCAATTACAGCGATTTCACGTCACCCTCGGGCTGACTGCAAAACTACTTCAATCATCTGGAATCAGATGGCATTGACATTTTCAACCCTAACCAACCTCACGTTAGGAAGTGCTTGCTTCATGTATTGAAATAATGTTCATGCTTTGCAACTATTCAATTCCTGTGGTTTTCCTTTAGAGGTGTGTGAGGCGACCATACTTTTCTTGTTTGCGTTTATATGCTATCTGAAATGTTACTAACACGTGCATCAATGTATAGGCTTTGGCTGTTTTGGGGCACTCAAAATAAACAAACAAACAAACAAACAAACAGCGGTATGCTTTAGCGTCCTTCACACTGGTGGCTCGATATTTAGGGAAGAGGAAGTGTACTTGGGTTACCACTAAGCTGAGAGGACAAAAGGAAACACGCGCTTGCAGGATCAATCAGATGCCTCCCATTCATCACCTGACCTAACTTTCTGCATGTAGCTGTGGGCGGGAGTGTGATCACGTGAGCACAAGGTATGCCTATATGCCTGGTTCAAAAAGCACGTAGTATCTACCGCTCTGTAAGCTTAGGTGGAAACGGAACATAGGTAATGCGCAGAGAAGCTAGCAGGTTACGTCCGCGTCGGTAGCTTTCACTCCCCGCCGCAATCTCGTGGAATACGAGCCTGAGAATAGCCTGTTTTTATATTTCCCAAACGAGTGTACCGGGAATCTCAGCGCCTAATTAGTTTTGGCGACGACTTGTGGCTCATTTTTCGAATATTGTTTAAAAGGATCTTTTTTCTCGGTGCGTTAGCTTCATAGTGAATGAAGTGATGATAAAAGATACAGGAACGAAATGCCAACGGTAGAAAGTAGCGAGGTAATATTTCTATTGTTCTTAATGCATCCAGTGAAATAAAAATAAAACACCTTTATTCGCTTCAATTGGGAAAACAATTGGTAGCAGAAACCACTATTGTTAGTTTTGTTTGAAATGCGATAGCATTCTTCATGAGACTGACGACGCAACTCACTCTGAATGCCACGACACTAATTTTGAGTGAGCACTTTATTTTGTGCATGGTTTATGACGGAATCTTTGACGTCAGAGTGACTGCAAGGCGCCACTTCGAAATTGAGTGATTGCTTTGTCTTTGTGTAATCATTTAATCTTCTGTCACTGTGTAATCTTTTATTGTTCAAGCTCTTTCTCCACCATCATCGCAGCTTCGTGGGCGTGTCTTGTACCGTATCTCTGTAATCGTGTAATCTTCGAGCTGTTTCACCACCATTATTGACCATGTACAAACAACCTCAACTCTGGCCGATAATCACTACGTAGCGTGAGCGCAAATGTGAACGTGTGCGTTCTGCCGCTCCGTGTATCTGCGGCGCAGGTTTACCTGCTTGCTAGGACGACTTCGAGAACGGCGTCCTCGGACGTCGTTCCCAAAGTCGTCTTTTGACCCGCCGTTACCCACCGTTACCGAGAACCAAGACGACGTTTAAGAAGGCAACCTCTAGGACGACCTCCAGGAGTCGTCCTCTAGGATGACCGCCATTTGTCATCTTGGAAATCGTTCTAGATGTCGTCCTTGAGATCGCCCTGTTGGTAGCAATCCTTAACAACGCTAGCAATAACGGCGATCTCTCGACCTGTAGGACAACCTCGAGGACGCTGTCTAGGACGCCATGAAAGACGATGTCTTCCTAGTGAAAAACTTTACATGTATAAGAAATGTCTAGTTTAAAAAAACGCATATGTTCAAATAAGATCGTATAATAACATACAAGAAGGTTATAAGAACATAGAAGAACAATATAGAATTATATAGAAAGTTTTAAGAACCTTTTTATCAGTCTCTTATAACATCTTAGATACTCTCATATTGTTCTTACATAATCTTATAAGGTTCTTGTATGTTGTTTTTACTTTTTTCCCTTGTTTGACCCCTTTTTACCGTGTTTTCTCCATTTATGTATCGAAATGGAAAATAAAGTTCCTTAATAATAATAATGATACTAATAATAGTAATAATAATTATAATAATAATAAGAAGAAGAAGAAGAAAAAGAAGAAGAATGGTATCCGATCAAGATTGTTTATTGGACCAGGAAATTTCTTATACACGTAAGATGATTCTCTAGGGCTAGAACGACTTCTAGGACGACCTCTAGGGCGATCTCGAGGGCGGCTTCTAGTACGACCTCTAGAACCTCCTCAAAGACTACATCTAGGATGGCGTCAAAGAGGACGTCTAAAACGACCTCTTGGGCAACCTCTAGGGCGGTCTCAAAGAGGACCTCAAAGACGACCTCTCAAACGACCTCAAGGACGACATCGAGGACGGCGTCCTATAAGATGGCGTAAAATACGATATGTAGAACAAGCTTTAGGACGACCTCAAGAACGACGTCTAGGACGACCTCCCGGACGGTATCAAGGGCGACCTGTAGGACGACCTCTAGGACGACGTCCACATAAGCGCGCGTATCGCAAAAATTGGGTGAAGTAGCTAAAATATAGAATAGTATTAAAAAACAACAAGCACAATACTTTATCAGTTTTTTTTAACATTATTTGTGGGCGCCGAGACACCGCTGCCATCATTTTGGCCACATCCTGGTTGCTTCTACGCAGATAGTTCTAAACCGCGTGACTGCAGTCGAACGAACGTGTGTGCAGTTCATTTGCCACCGGTTGTTTTCCCTTGCCAAATTACTGATTTTAGTCATGTCCGTGGCAACGTTTGTTATCAATTTTGCGCCTTCAATCTTTTAATATTTAAGCGCGCTCTTTGTCCCTTCTATCAAAAAATTGATTATTCACCGCTGCCCCACACGCTGCAGGCACACTGTCCTCCGCCTTGATAACTGTATATGCTGCGAATACCTCAAACACGTTAATGTGGTCACATGACATTTAAGAGGGATTGCCTAAACGTCCGCGGGATTCATCACGATACTATTGTTGGGTGGATTCTCATGAACAAACGTCCCCGTCAACCTTGAACGTTCCAAGTCCCTTGTGGACCAAATGTACTGTCCCGTTGAGAAGCAAA